TTCCACGAGTGTCGGTTCTGAACCTCGTGTTAATGAAAAAACAGTCTCGTTTGATGTGCACCCACTTTCACCAAAAACCTGTCACTGCTGGTTCTGTTTGTTCGTATGATGCGCCGTATGATTGGTCCAAATGGCAATATGATTGAGTGTTCATTGTTCTCTCTGTTCTGCCTTTACTCATTTGATACATGTCAATCTCATTCGGTTCGACCGTTGCTCTTGGACAGTGTCCTCTGTACCACTTAGCGCTTCTGGAATAGTGTCATCTGTTAACTAGTGACCGGCTACTCGAAATGCTTACCACAGTAAAACGTGCCAAGTTAATGAGTAGAAATTGCATGGACCCCCACAAAGTTTCCGTTAGCAACCATATTTTTTGATGTTGTCTTTTTACTTCTTTTTTTATTTATTGAATGTACAAATGTACAGTCAGTGTTCAGGAAGGGAGCCGCGGCCATACAAAGGCCGCCTGAGAATAGGGACGGCGGTGGAGCGGTTCGAACCCTAGATCAACAGGTCACAAGTTTGTGACTTAAGCACTTGGCCACCACCATATATATATATATATATATTACATATTATATTATTATATAAAAAATGATAAATTAACACAAAATTTCAAAAAGTGTACGGTGAAACACAAAAAATTGTTATCCCAGTTATTTACAATTTTGTTGTAACAGTTTCGCCTTCTTTTACTGTTCTGTATTCTAATCCACCCACTGAGTTATTGTTATTAGTGCTGAAAATTGTGAATAGCTGGAATAACAATTTTTTGTGTTTCACCGTACACTTTTTGAAATTTTGTGTGTTAATTTGTCATTTTTTAAAATCTGGTACGGGACTTCAACAGGCAAGCCGTACAGCGTTCGCGCCACTGACTTCTATTCTGGGCCATATCTCTTAACTTCTCTAACCAGCGACAATCCTCACCTCTTGGGCCCTATCTGGAAGGCGGGATGCACCAACCGAAGCCAGCTTCTTCATACCTTCATATACGATATGCGATGGTCTGACCACCGCGACATTTCTTCCGGCCTTGCCCAGTATATGCAAAAAGAGCATAGAAAGGTAGTCGATGGACAGGTATACGCCAATTGCGAATGTGCTATCGGAGACAGTGTAGAGCGATTACTTCTATTAGAAAACGACTATCCGCACCCAACACACGATGTCATTACTCACCCGATGTTCCCACCAGACATGAGTAATGCTTCGGAAACACCGGCGGTCAAATACATAGAGCCGATTAGTACCCTCAGCGCGGAGGAGCCAGGTCTCGCAACCGTAAAGTAGAACGCAACGAACCGCGGCGATTTACACCTTTCCCTTGAGAGACAGTCGGATGTCATTGCGGCTTCACAGATGTCGTAGGGTAACAAAGCTGCTCTAGCCTTCGCTATTCGTGATTTGGTCTCCTCCCCAACACTCCCACCACTAGCTGCGATCAAGCTTCCGAGGTACTCAAAGCTCTTTTTCACTTCCAGATGATCGACACAGAAGTTGCGTGCAAGCATCGGCTCTTGCCAGTCTTGAGCACGTACTTTGCACTTGTAAGGTGCAAAGCACATACTATACATGAATACCTCTATCGTCAAACGGTTTAAAGCGTGTTAGGCTGCCTGTGTGTTGTGGCCTAGCAAGGCGATGTCATCGGCATGTTCCAGGTCAAGGGCTGTTCCCTGGGAGGAATTCAACTCCACCGTTTTGTAGACCGGACAAGGCATTGTGCAGAACATCCGCTATGACAAAGTTGAAATGGAACGGCGATAAAGAGCAGCCTTGTCGAACTTCACTGGAGACGGCGAAGGGTGGCGAAAGTTGGCCATAGGCCCTAACACAACCTGAGGTATGACAATACAACTGTTTGAGGATCGACACGTACTTCTCAGGTACTCCATTCCTCAACAAGCAGTTTCTTAGTGCGGTCTTATCGACAGAGTCGAAGGCCGCGCGGATGTCTAAGAACACAATAATTGTTGTTCTTTGGTAGGCGTAACGGTGATCTAGCAGCTGTCGGAGGGTGAAGATTTGATCGATGCCTTCAAGACCTGTGCTAAACGCAGCCTGCTCCTCGCGCGTCTGCTTCGCACGCATAGTGTACAATCGGCGGACAATGACGGACGCCCACAGCTTTGATGCTATCGGAATAAGGCGTATATCCCTATGATTGGCACAGTCATTGTGCGGGCACTTTTTGAAGACAGAGACAACAATCGATTTCCCCCCACGCGGAGGCGACCTGCTCAGTGTTCCACACTTTAGAGAACAGAACTTATAGTTCTCTAACGAGCTTTATTCCACCATCTTTAAATGGAGCTGAAGGAAGGCCATACGAGCCCGGCGCTTCGTGACATCCAAAGTCTTGGATCTCCTGACGGATTTCTGCCTCAGAAGGTGAGTCTATTAAGACAGACCGTGGAACATGTGCCGGAATAGTTCTCTGAGAAGCCGACGCCGTTGGCCAGTTTAACTGTGCCTTTAAGTGCTCCAGCGTTCAAGACGTCGCTGCTGGTTATTAATGGGTGAATCGTCAGCTTCGCAGATCGTTTCGCTCACACCTAAGGCTTTCCTACCGTTAACCCGGATGAGATGGAACAGCTTACGGAAGCTTCCCATGGCGGCAGCAAGTTCCATCTTTGACACTCGTTGAGTCCTCCAGATTACTCGATTTCTATGTTGAGGTTACGTCTTGTTGCGTGTCGTATTTCATTATACTTGCTACCGGTCGGGATTGATCTGCGTGCATCAAGAAGGCGTAAACACTCTGCAGAAATCCATGGGTGTCGCGGCACGACGTGTCAGACCACAGTGAAGTAAACCAGTAGAGCATTCTTGATAAGCAACCTGTGCTGGTTAATGTCATCGAGTGGAGTTGATTCCAGCTTCTTAGCTAGCGGGTTCTGAAGGACAAATATGCATGCTGGTTCAGACAACTAACCGTCGTGTCGTGCATTTGAAACGGCCACCGAAGCACATAAATGACTTGGCACAAACTGATGCGTGGTTGGATTCGAAAGGAAATGCTCCAGTGCGATTGGCAGTCTTGTATGCAACCCCGCCATTTGTGGCTTATAGCGATGTGGTCGATCTGTGTTCGTCTCTGACTAGAGGAAGACGAACGCCAGTTGGCGTACCGGCAGTTGGAGCGTCTGAAGTTCGTGCTGGCGTGGAGTAGGCGGTGGTCGAAATACGGAACCAACACCCGTTATCTGAGTGACCGGAATCTAGTCCAAAAGGACTAGTCGCATGAAGTTCCGTTTACTTATAAGGTTAATTGTTGATCAGATCCTATCAACTTTGCCCAGTGGTCCTTCTAGAGGAAACGATCGCTAAACCGGAATAATTATTCTTGCCAATTTATCAGAACATGGCTAAAGTATGTAGGACAATGAACGAGTTGCAGTGTGTGCCACTCATCATAATATCGTCCATTTGCTCTAGCCATGGATTTACTCGACCTTGTGTCTAATCCTAACTTACGTCAAACCGGTACCGGTTAGTGGCATAATTGTTCTCTCTCTCTCGTACAACACCAAATTTGTTTCAATCGTTTTGCAAACATTTTTCCAATTAACATGCAATCATTTTTTCCGGTGTTTCATTTGAGAGCTGTTTATTTTTAGAAAACACTCGAATATGGGTTATTCATTAACGAAATTTTTGTCGATTCCATCAATTATTGCAGTCCTTTCACAAGTTAACTTTTTAGGCGTTAGTGCCAGTTATATCGCTTCTAGTGCTTATCCATAAACTCATCATCAAATGAGATAACAGTGTTGCTTTCTTGGTTCACGTCCTTGCGAACCGATGCACACACACACACACACACGCAATAACTCAAACGGATCAACCGTCACCACCGCCAACCCCTGTCGGGTGACAAAAAAGATCTTCACTGCGAATAGTTCAGCATGAGGTGTCATTCTTGGTCGTGGAATTAGACTCAACATTTGGGAGTTTGTCTAGGTCGTTTTCGGCTATACCGAATAAATGCTCAAAAGAAAGAATTCACAGTCAATGGAGTCGCCTCGCCATTGATCCTGATCCTCCCGGCCTTTTTTTCTGGATTTAACTAAACACAGTTTATTTTCAAGCTTGCAGCCAAAGTTTCCCCTATCATATGAGCGCTATCCATTGGGCATTCCTTGCAAAATCTCCTAGAATCATTGCTGTTTGAATTATGCATTTATATGCATAGGGTTTTCGTTTCTGCTCTTTTCGAAACGCCCTGCTTTATTGAACACAATAATTCATTTGTTTGGACTCGCTTCCACTCATTTTCCCCTATTTTTAGCAAATTCAACTCCCAGCCGAACTACTACAATTGGTGATCGATCAGTTGTTTCATCGCATTCTCCTCGAAACATCCACTTCGGTTAGAAGTTTGGCTACCAAGGTGAGTGTAACGTTGACCACAACTGAGTACCAATGTGATCATTAACGTGCGGCCTAAGGATGCAATCAATAGGTCGAAATGACAATGATGCGACTATAAACGCACAGTTTGGACAAAGGGCAAGATAGCGGGCAGTAAATAGGTTTCATACAATGTGGTTCTATACTAACAAAAACACACTTCACTAAAATGAATTGGCCCCAAGATCGAGTTGGTGACTTCGAACAGTCAAGCAGTGAAGATCAGACGATTGTAACGTGATACAGTGAAACGTAAAAGTAAGCGTGAAAGTGAACGTGAAATGTATCAGAGTGAAGAGCTATCGATGGAATATGGTCCTAAAGTTGAACTGGGAGAACTAATATGCTGTACAAAGGTAAAAGGATGAACAATACTGCGGAATGTGATGACCGACAAAGAGCAGTGGACGGCTGTTTTGTCCCATTTTGGGACTGGTCAGCAGGGCGTGCTCTTTGTTATCCCTGTCAGGACTCGAGCCGCGAACCTTCGGGTTGGGACTTCAAACCCTTACTCCTGAGCTACAGTCGACGGTCATCATCTTGTTGGAATGGCTTAATCAATTTAGACGGTGTTTGTTTGGATTAGTTTATTCGGATTTTCACATGCACCAGGCACTGTTGATGATCTTAGGTGTGGGTTTCACCTCTTGGGAGATCGTTTATTCCCCATTCTCATTAACTAAGAGTTTACAGTCGTAACCCGAAGGTTCACGGTTCGAGTCCTTACAGGGACACAAAGAGCACGCACTCTGCTGACCAGTCCCAGGACGAAACAGTTGTTCAGTACCGTTTGTTGATCATCATAAACATTTTTATCACATTTAAATGCGTTTCATTGATGGGGAATTAACGATCTCTCAGGGAGTGTAACCCACACCCAAGATCAGCAGTGCCTAGTGCCTGTGAACAAACTGAATGGGCTAATCCAAATATTGTGGAATAAGTTCGTAGGGGGCATAAATGGGGTTGAACAGTACCTGAGGATGATGTGTAACCGTCTGATTCGTTTTTCTCTCCGTATATTATTCCCGTTTTACCTTATCTAGCATCTTTCGATTGAATCGATTCCGGGGACGAATCGTGTGCACTTGCGTAGTTATACATGCACAGGGGTTGTTCATCCAAGTATGCGAAGTTCTGCTATATCATTTGTTTGCACATATACTGTCAGGGAGTTAGTTTATCCTATTCTCAGCTCGATTTGGGAACTTTTATCGGGCCGGTTGAATCCAATTCAAACTTCTTCCTCCGTGTGAACAGCTCGGAAAACAATCTGAATCGGGTCATTGACTTATTAGTTGAATTTAGGTGTCCACATCCATCCCCGTTCTTGGTTCGACCGGGCATAGGCAACAAATCTGTGACGTTACTTAGCGTGACAGTCTCCCTGGAACCGTTGAGATTTACCTCCCCCCCCCTCCAAATAGATCACTAGAAAAGTGGGATGAAATTCACTCCGTTTTCAATCGTTTTTTTTGTTTTCGTTCAGTTATTCTTTTTCTTTTCTTTTTGGAAACGTACATAAAAAGCATTAATTAATTCAAACATGCCCAAACTGGACGTGATAAACTGTTAAGTATCATGCTCGTGCTCTGGAGGTGATCTCTGCTGATATTGTGTCATTTTACATTTATTGTGGGTCTCATTGTTGTAACATTTGTGTCCGTTTTTTATTGTGCTAAACAAGCTCTAGTTCTCGATATGGCTAATCATATGGTGTCTGTCAGTAGATTTGACCCGACATTAAGCTTAGTGGCAATGAAACCTCACATATCTTTCTTTCTTTTGGGCTGCTCCGAAATGAATAGAGCTTGTCTCTCATACTCGTCTCCTACTCGCCGTACGCACTAACGCTTTTTTATATCGGTATCGCTTTGTCTCTCTCTCTCTCACACACACACACTGTCGTGCACAGATTTGTATCGACGTGATCGAATCCGCGGAACTCGTTCAGTGCACCCGGGCATGTGTGGATCGATTGGATTTCTGGTTGTGTCAGGCCATGCAGCCCGTGGGTGTACCATTTCCACCGCATTTGTTTACCGCTCTCGTGCCAGCTCATCCCACTATCCCGGTGGAGCAGCCCAAATCGACGGCATCTCCGGACGGGGTTGATTCTGTGGTGCGTTTCATTTGTCTTCACCTCCTCTTTTTATGGTGATCTGCACAGTTTCACCATTGGGTTTTCCGGTACACTCAATCTGACACGAAAATCTTGGTTGGAGATTGCGGTGTTGGTCCACGCGAGTTCCCACACAGTTGTCATTTTTCGCTCACCGCCCGATCACTTCAGTTCCCAGTGTATATAATTCCATTAGGTATCTGTTTTCTCGCTGGAATCGCTTGTTAATCCAAACGGTAGTGTATTTGATCTCAGATGGGTCACATTCCCAATAATTCGCTTAAGTCATCTAAATGGCTGTTGGTTTGCGCCCTCCGTACAGTAATGAGTCAAATCCACTCCCTGAAACCAGAATAAATAAGACAAACCAACAGGCTTAGTTGCTTGTATATATATATATATATATATATATATATATATATATATA